CAGGGACGCCAGGCATGGCCATGATGGCCGTCCGCAACAAGTTAGAATTTCAGCTTTTCCTATAGTTAACCCGGAATTGTTGCTTCGTTGCGTAAACGACATATTTGTTATTGTCAAAACCTATCAATCGAAGCTACTCCACAGCAACCTTAGTTCCACCTTTCCGGACATTCAGTTTACTCTCAGAACATATCTCAATGGACAGACCCCTTACCTAGATGCCCTCGTACACCGAGAGACCGATGGCACGCTGCAAACTTCAAGTGATCATAAGGATATATATACCGAGGTCGCCTTGGATATTAGGAGAGATCATCTCATTTCATGTCAACGAAGCTTTATTTATAGCTTTTAAGTCGACCTAAAGCCCACCGTTTTAATGAGGAAGTTTGTTTATCAGAAGTAGAATACCTTTTCGAAATGTTTCCCTGATATGAATATATTTCCTTCTCTGTTCGTCGTTGCATGCGGTGACAACAGTTAATGGAAAAGGGTATTACCAGATAGTAATGGCCGACCTTACAAATCCTCGTATCGATTACCAAAGCACGCCTACTTATGTGATTAAGGTAGGCATTTTGCGCTAGGGTTTATTCGTCGTAAGGCATTTAGGGGTGGAATTCTGATTTTGTTCTGGCGTTTGGATTTTGTGGCTATAGCCATCATTCAGGGTTGCGACTTAGGATTGGTTTCTAAGTTTTACAGCCAGGTCTGGCATTTAGGGTTACGATTTAAAGATAGGAATGGGTTTAGAATTTGGTTTAGGCTTAGGTTTGGGTTTGGGATTAGGCTTATGCTTAGGGTTGGGTCTAGGTTTAGGGTTAGAGCTTGGGTTAGGGTCAGGGTTTGGTCTAAGGTTAGGGTGGGTTTAAGATTAGCGTCACGGAAAGGGTTGTGGTTAAGGTTATGGTTAGAGTTAAGTTTGCCTGCCGCCCTGGATCATCTGTCTTCTGCCCGTTTATGCGTCCCTAATTCCCATCTTTCAAATTAGGTAGTTTGTTCCGACGCCTCGTTGGAGAAGTAAAACAAATGTGTGGCCGACACGCGAGTTTTCTTATTACCTTCAGCATATTCCCTTAATTACTGCGTCGTTGAGGCCTACCGGCAAAATCGGCATTAATATCCTTCCCGTATTACAGCAGTCCATAGTGTCACAAATCCAGTCCTTTCTTCCCGGAGTTACAACCACCCAAACATCAAAACCAACTGAGCGTCGCACCCTCCTATATGTGAAAATGCATCTGAGCTCGTTGAAATAGAGCTGAAAAACACCAGATACAGATAGCGTACAAACTTACAGTAACCCAGCGCATCAAGCTTATACACCCTAAGGACAGGGTTGGCTATTTTTCTGGAAAATAAATCGCCCGCAAAATACTATGGTAGAACACTGATGCTGTGGTCCAACGGCGATAGTGCTCTACCAGTATACATGTACACTGGTCAGTGTATAGGGGTTGAGACACTTCGTCCCACGTATCATTCACAGATTGGACACAGGACACAAATTTGCATGGAAAACCGGCATCGTTGGCCCCTGTCCAGCAAAATGGACAGAGAGTTCCTGGAAGCAACCCACTCAGGCGAGACATGCACAAATAGGAACGTCGATTTAATTACCAGATACAAGTTCTTAGGGTCAGCTGGTGAAGGACACAGCCAATACCGACGGAGTTACTGAACGCAATGGATGCCTATTGGCCTAAACTCCAGCCAACCGCAGAATTTTGTTAGACACGGTTCAAAGTTAGCTTCTTTTATACATTGGCCTTTGCCAGACGATGAGTTTCGGAACTACTTTAGAAAATTTGTGTAAGAACTGCTATTTTGTTCCCAAAGTACTGGGTCTATCTATAATTAGACTTATTGAAGTGTGCTTGTCTTTGGCCCCCAAACGGGTTGTGATATAGATGCGCTGGAGCAAAATGAGGGAACTGATTGATCACGACTCATGTCAACTTCATAGCGCAGAGTTTGTGTCGACCCATACATAATGCCTTACATAAGAGCGACACGTGGGCACGTCTTGTTGCAGGCCTTCGTGTCGAGTCAGTCAGTGTGCCCATCCCACCATTAGCTAATTGATAGGCTCGAACAGTCGAGTGGTGCATTGGGATGAAGAGAGAGTGAAACCGACAATGTCAGATCCACTCCGACGGCAATAGAGTGCATTCGCCGATATGGTAAATCTAACACTCTTGAATCTACCACGGTGAGTTAATTGCCGCGGCCTAATGGGTTTCCATCTGACGTCGTAGTCTGTCTTCAACGAGATTAGGGGTCGTGTTCAGTGGCTCCCTCTTAATATGGCCTTCAGGGCACTCGTACATGTGACATTAAGGTCGCTGGTACAGTCGTCTGGTGCATATAGTCGAGATCAGGTCGTGTGTGATGCGCGCAGATGGCTGACCAAGTTTTTTGACTACTGCGCCCGCACCTACCTCCGGTCGTCTTGGCATTGTCTTGCATCGGAACCCGATGGGTGAGAAAGGAGGGAGTGCTGTATTCGTTGTGCAGGTATTCCTCTCCATAAAATAATTCACGCTCAAATCACTCGTGTTGCGCCCATTCAGTGTGGTACGTAGCGGACGTCGTCGCCTGCGATGGTCGAACACCCGCGTGGTGTGCATGGAGTGTCATTTGCAAGGACCCAAGTTGAAGTTGTTCGGTCACTCTATCTTCTTCGACGCTTATTGACCGACTTTCCACTAAAGAATGTGTCCTGGCGTATATGCATTAGTCGAAACTACTAAGCTTGAAGGTGTCGCACAGACGACGCAATCTGCACCGGTTAACACATGTACGACCACGTGGTAGCTAGCTCTTGCAAACAATATACTGACAGGCTCATCCAATCTAATAAATGCTCATACTTCGCCCCGTTCCGGCGCTCATACCTCACCTGTGGCTCCGTAGCACCGTGATCAGTGCGGCGACCACGCCTTGAAAACCATCACTGACCGGTCAGATAAATTAGATGGGTGTTTCTGATGGATGTTTGTGTGTATTTTCACATCTGGTCGTTTTCAAACTAGTGTCCATGCTGCCTCCCACTTTGGGACAAATAAGTCCTGCGTAGAAGGCGTGGTCTACGCAGGCTAAATCGGGTCGTTATCCTAGAAAATAAAAGGCGCCACCGATTGTGGAAATTAGCAGCCGTCAGAGACAATCAAGGAGCTCATTTCGGAAATAGCACTGTTAACCGTCTTGTGATGGGGATAGTAAAGATGTTTTAAGCGGCTGTTGACAAAGCGCACTGTTGGCTAGACGACTGTGACTTGTTGAACCAATCTTTAGGGTCTTAACAACATAAAAACGGCCACCCTCGTCCTACTCCCGTGCTTCTCCACAGGTGGCTGGCTAAGACTTCAGCCTGAATATTTATTCTCCATTAAGCATTCATTGGAAAATTGGCTCCAGACTAGAGCGGCGTTGGTTGTCAGGAAACCGATTCGCTACAAAATGGGCACTCCGGCTCTTAATGAGCCCCCTTCCCTAAACTGCACTGTCAGGTGTGAAGACCGATGAAGTAGCTTTCACATCCAGAATCTGCGCTAGCTCCATTTACGCTACCAGCCAAGGACCAATAAAGTTCGCAAAAAGCATAATTATTGGGAAAAGTGTGGGATACGAGAGCAAACATTGCGTTTGATGCGCATATACCCTGATCAAGGTAAAGAACCTAAAAACGAGTTTGTTCGCTTGGGAACGCTTGTGCGCAGAACCTTGATGACCAGAAGGATGTTGCCGGAGTTACAGTTAAAAACGAAACGTAAAATGTAAGCAGTGCGAAATTATATCGTTTTAGGGGCATCCCAAAACACGGATTACGAATGAGTAAATACAGGCGCGGGTCCAAACTTCCTGTGAGCAGTCAAATTAGCAACTTAGTACTCGTGCCCTGCTATCAAACTTCGTTACAAGATATCTAAGGAGAGAATGGTCAGGTCAGTCCTCATTGGGTGCTCAAAAAAATAACTCGTGTCATAATTCAGTAGTGTAGTCTGCCCGCTAACAAAATAGTTGGCCTTTCTAGCTCCCATCTTAAAGACGTTTGTGTCTTTATGTCACTTTTTGATTAAACTAAGTCTACATGCTATTTCTGGCCACGTTTCATGTCTTTCATTCCTTTCCTCACCTCTCTATATTCGATCAATCTTTTACATCTGTTGAACTCCCAATCCCCTTACCGGCTTCCGTCGTTTCTTCTACGTTTTAGCAAATCTATCCGGCTTCTCACGTTTTTGTTTTTTCGTCTTCTGTTCCTAATCCTTTCCTGTAGGACCGTTACCGCTCCTGCCTCATCCTTTTTAGACACTACAAAATGTGCGTCAAGTGCCTCCTTCACCTTCACTCCGTTTTCTTCAGGTTGTTGCAAATGAATTTGGAGGTTAGATAAGCCCTCATTTCCAGTCATAAAATAAACAAAAAATTAAGGAGTCCTCGACTCCTCGATAAATTCTACGCTCGGCCTTGGGCTGACTAACTTTGAATGTGGCCTTCTATACCCGCTCACTTTGGTCAGTTCTCGTTGACGTTTTCTCGGAGATCGAGTCGCCGTTCGGATTCATGACACATTCCTGTCTCCTCTCTTTTCTCTTACTCTCTCATCATCTGCTCTTTGTAAATGCATGGGATAGTTCGGAGCTCGAGATGTTTGACCTCGTTGAAGAGCTGGACAAGACCTTTTATGAGTTTATGTCCATTGAAAGGGTAATTTCGTCTTCTCTGGGCATTGTTTTAGACATCCTCAATAAGCGATATAAAGCGAGCTTATCGCAAACTCTCTCTGGAGTTGCACCCTGATAAAAACCCCGACGACCCTGATGCGTCTAGGAAATTTCGTCAACTCACAACTATTTATCAGACTCTGAAAGATGAAGGACTTCGAAGAAGGTATTTGACCATTTTTTTCCTAACATCTCAGCTACGATTCTGTTCTCGAAAATGGTCTTCCGGATTGGAGAACACCTGTATTTTATTATCGCACTTTACGCAAAATGTCGAATACCGAGCTGGCCGTCCTGGCTACTACTCTTTGTATCATTATTCACTTTGCAGCAATTTGGGGCTCCACCTTTGAGAAGCGTTGGACACTAGTAATTTCGGTGGAACCGTTATAAATGTTTTTAGCGTGAGCGTCTAGAAACTCACTACAAGCGCCACAAGGCCTCGGACAAACGGAAGATTATCATTGATGTCGAAATCGCCGAGCAACTAAAGGGAATAGCCTCCCCAACTGTTTGGGATATTTTACCAATTTATCTCGTTCGAGTGTTGTTTGGTTTTATCAAGTCCATTCCGTCGCAAATTTCCTCTATGGTCAAACTGGTCAAAGATCTCGCAGAGCAAAAGAGAAGGACTAAAGAAGAAATCAAAGGTACTGCTACATTTCGTAAACACTATAACATATTCCCCCAGTTGGTCGACCATCCGTCAATTTTCACTCCTGTGCTTCGCGTGTTTTCCTTCTTCGTATTTCATCTGAATGGGTGAATCGTCCTAGTTCTTCTATATCGCCCCTGCTATCTTAACACACACCAGATGTCCTTAGATTTTGTTTTAACGAGTTGATTTGTGAAAGTTTTCTCTTGCCCCCTCATCAGTCCGCTCCCCACTTTTCATAAGTCATTATTTCACTTGTCACAGTTAACCACATAACTTTTTGTTAACCATTTTCAGTTAGTCATAAGGGGGTCGACTGTCTCAAACCAGTAAAACTACCATCAACTTGCCGTAGAGCCTTAGGAATCCTTATGTTCTAGCGAACTGGTATCATGCTTTACAGTGCATAAGACTAACAGCTCTATCATTGTTACATGTTTTTCCACCTTTTTATATTTGACGAACCCCCAATCTCTATTAGTGAAACAACTGGTATAATAGCCTAATTTGCTGTGTCTCCTAGACTATCGAAAAGCATAACACTCGTGATGATCTAACCCGAGCATAACGCGAGTGGTTTTTTCAAAAGAAGTGGGAACTGCCGGTCCCAGCGTTTTCATCCTAGAAAAACGAAATAAACGTAAATTCACTCAGAAATTCCTACTCATCTGATAATTACGTCGATCTTGCTTCGTCACTGCCTTAAAAGTCTGTGTGGAATGGCATGCACTGGAGTATATTTTAAACAGCCTTCTGCTGGCTTTCTTACGTCTTCATTCATAAGTAGCTTTCAATTAATGTTACGCAGCAGTCGTAATGAAGCCATCTGGTGTGGTATTTTTACGCATCAGTCCACTTTTGCATTTATTTACGAAACCTTACTTTCCTTGAAACGTACGCTCAAGGAGACCCTTGGTTTTACCTTGTTTCACATGCGTAAATATTTCCTTGTGGAAGCATCTATATGCCGCGTTTTAAGCCTTTTTTTAAATTGTCATATTTGGAATCTATGTGCATATCAGAGATGGAGAAGCTGGAAGAAGAGCGAAGACTGCGGAAGACTCTTAAGAAAAAGCACCAGCCTGAGAAACCCCCACAAGATCACTTGGATGTGGACGTGTCACTGATGTCGACTTTTTCACCTGACAATCTGAGGGTGTCAACTGACGAACTTTGCGAAGTAGACAACGGGCCAGTAACCGCTAAGGTTTGTTGTTTCCAAATATTTACTTTTAATGTTTGCTGTTTGTGCGAGCGTTTCTGACAATCACAATTTCAACATTCGAATGATCTTCATGTTTCGTTTCGACGATCAAAATAACTAGCCCTAGAGTCGATCCAGATCGCAGATCCGCAAAATCACTATCGATGCATATTCGTATTCATCACGCCTCATTCCATAAAGTATCGTAGACATGACCACAAAGTACGGCTATGATCATGCCTGATCGCGACATGACCATTTGCAGCAGTGGATCTCGAGATCTCAACCGCTCTCTTCCCCTCCCACGGTGACCGAATATTGAGGGTCCGAAGATCACCACCGTGTCTTGACGGGTTGTGTTAGACCGAGTTTTAGGCTGACCACCTCTTCGACGCTTCCACGTATTCAGCGGTTTCGGATCCAGGGCAGCAACATTGAGGACGTGCCCAAATCACCCCGGTTGTTCTTATTGGATGATTTGAGGTATCCTCATGATGTTGTCCCAGCGAGTTCAGATTGTCATATTCGACGCCAAGTCAGTATGCTTCGCTCGAAGGATAGTCCTCAGTCAGCGATGGTCAGGTGCCTCCCTTTTCCACTTTTCTTATACGCGCACGACCCAACATTCACATCATTATAGAAGGTCCGGCTGGACGAATACCAGATAGGGGTATCACGCCGGATCCATAGACCCGGCGAACATCATCGATTCACCTTTACTCCACCCATTTGGTAGAAATTTCACCCCGGGATATTAAAAACTGTCTACGTCCTCAAGGTGATACCCATTTATCTCGAATGATGCCTTTACCAGGCCAGAAACGCAACTTGAGAGCACGTTTGCCCTCCCACCGTTTCTGGATAAATCTACCGATTTAACGACATTTGCTCATGACACTACATTTTGCGGGACATCAAAGCTTGACACCAGAAGGGTGGTGTCTGTAGTGTAATCGGAGTCAGTCTAGTGAAACCTGGTTTCAAATTCAACACCTTTAGAATCGCGTAGAACCCTGCCGAGGGTTTTGTCATTAGTCAATGACAGAAGGGGCAGCAGTATGCAACCTTGTCAAACGCCAGATCAAATGCGAATGGCTGTGAGGCATATTTGTATAGCAGCACTCATGCAGCAGTGGAGCAATCGCAATTATTTTTGTGATATCAGGACGCTTTCTATGTGACCCCTTGTACGCAGAGGGGATGGACATAGTCTGTTCCCTAGACGTCAGTTCCTACATCATGCATTAATCTGCTACCATGAACCCAGCTCCGGAACCTTAAACTGACTAGAAGGTAGTCTGTCTAGCTGGCCGTAGGACCAGAGTCTGAACTCTGGTTCCGTAGATGTTTGCAGGGATGCTGGAAGCATGTTTTGGTGGCGACTGGCTGACCATGGTCGGCAAAACTCAAAAAAAAATTTCACCTTGGTCACACCGTGAACCAGGCCCTGAGCGGTCAATAGGTGATTGTTTGAAGAGCAAACAGTGTACGTGCTTCGCTTATTGCAAGCGGAAGGCCTTCACACCGCGTCTAACGAAGCAGTCGCATGAATTTTTGTGATAGATGGTGCTGTACAAGTTGACCCCCTGGTCCGAGAGCCTGTATTGGATGTACGGACTTCGGGCGAGCAGCGAGCATCCAAGTTGTCCTGATGAAGACTGCACACCGTCGGACTTCGAGTACTGGGGTTAAGCAATGTTCACGTATCCCAGCATTGAGCAGCTTGGCCCGCATTAAATCTCTCATAAATTAGGAGGTGCGGTGTGCTATCTCACTTGCTACTTTTGTGTTGAGATACTCGAAAATGACTGAAGAGCACATATTCATATATTCGCCTTTCAGTGTTTTCAGATCCGAAATAGGACTAGTTAAGCGTGTTATTACCACCAGCGAAGGGTCTAAAGTGTTCAAAATGGTCCTTGTAACTACACAGAGCAGACTGGGCGCGTGCTCGGATCGCGCATACACGAGCATAAGCTGGCTGTGCGATGAGGCGACTCATTATCACAAGTGGCCGTCCACACCTACGAAATGGGTCACGAGTTTAACTTTGCAGCTGCCAAAATAGTCGTCCACGCCGGAAACAAAGCAGACCGAGAATTGATTGAAACCTGGGCCTCGGATGAGAACTCAGTCAGTCGATTTATCGATCTGGCGCCGGCCTACAGAGCCCTGCGTAGTCACCTCCAGTCTTGCGCCGTCGGTCGATGATCGCGGCTTCGTGCCTTATAACTGTCGCTTGTTCTGTTGCTGCTACTACCTCTGACGATGGACTCCTGCACGAGTCTGAAAGCTCAAGACAATAAACAAAGTGTTCCGGTGCTCGACTCTTCTTCTTCACTTATGTTCACTCTCATCGTTTAAGAACCCCATTTCGCGATCCTCTGCTGGACCTTTTGTGCGTTCTCACCTACATAAGATCCGGGTTGTCCTTATTGTGGCCTAGTACCCTCGGAGCGGGAGCCAGGTCGTGCATAGTACGCGTAGACGAGTTGTTTGCCCTTGTTGCGCTCGCACCTACCTCCAGTCGGCCTTGCCATCAAATCGTGGGTGTTGTGTCCACTCCGTTGGATTCGCGGTGGACGTCGCCACCGCATCCTGCGCTCGCTCTTAATTCACCTGTATATTCGAGAGTCCGTGTTCCTCTTCGCTTCTGCCTTACTAGACCATGCCTACCACAGCTCTCTATTCCTTTCAGGAATGGACAACAGATGAGGAGGCTATTTTTTAAGAAGAAGAAGAAGAAGAAGAAGAAGAAGAAGAAGACACGATCGCTGGGGCAGGAGCTTTATTAGCCTGACGTTTCGGATTCCTGCTCGAATCCATCATCAGAGACAAAAGCAGATAAGGGTGGTTCATGCTTCTGCGGCTGCAGTATTTATAGAATCCAGTAGCCATGCTACCGCATAGCTATGAATATTCATGGCTCCCTTCCCTTCATCAGGGATCGTTGTACGTGGCGTGATGGCCGACATTCGCGTCGTTAATTGCTGCAATTTCATCACGTGCGTTGGATGTTGGTGTGATGATTGCTCGACCATCTGACGCGCTGACCCGGGTGTTGGGAAGAGTGTTCACCTGTGAGCAGGAATCCGAAACGTCAGGTTAATAAAGCTCTTGTCCCGGCGATCGTGTCTTCTTCTTCAAGACTGCTTCCTGGGACTCGTCATTTCGCTTCTATTAGTCCATGTTCCTCTTCGCCTCTGCCCTACTAGACCATGCATACCACGGCTCTTTATTCCTTGCAGGAATGGACGACGGATGAGGAGGCCATTTTTATCCGTCTGACTAACAAGTACCCTGGAGGCTTTCCAAACCGCTGGCAAAAGATTGCGGAAGTCTTGGGGCGGTCGGTGGCGGACGTGACCGCGCGAGCATCCGCCATTTCGGCCCGAATGTCGGAAAGAATGCAAGTAAATCGTAAGTTGCCTTGTCAGTGCATTTGGAGTAATTCTCTGTCTGGAGTCGGCCGTCTTCTGTCACTGGACTTTGTTATTCCACTTGCTTCCGTTTTTCAAACTCATATATCGAAGGAGACAGTCAATAATCCCAAGCTATGCTGACTTATTTTCTTAATAATGCAACATCAAAGGGGGTAGTACATAAGTTAACTTGTATAAACAGTAAACACGGAATATTAGATCAGGTTTATTCGTGCCCCCTGGCACTAGACACCATTCTCTCACGAAAAATAACAACTACCTGTCCATGAACGTCATTAAGAAAATAAGTCCTAAACTATTCTTTTCCGATGTCAGAAATTATGCCTTCTTGTGATTTATCATTTCAATAATTGACATTTTGGCTTGATAAGATCTCAATTTCGGAACCATTTGGGATGTTCACCGCAGTGTAATTACCGTCAAATATCCGCGCGTATCGCAAACCTGTATAATGACAATGCTGTTTGTTACAGCTCTATCCAAATATTATATTTCAGGATTCCTTTTTATCTCAATGTTAAAATAACTTGGAACTTACAAAACCCATCCATTTAGATAATAGATTTTTCATTCGTGTAATTTTACATAATGGGCTTATAAGAAGTGGATTTTTCTCTCAAGGGCTTCGCTAAAATCACAATCTTCATAGACTGGAACTGAGTTCCGTAGCTGCCACATCGAACGCTGCATCCTCTCTTGAAGCTACAGATGCTGTTAAGAGTTGGCGAATCGGTTCGATATGCTCGTTGTTGGGAGTTGCGTGAACTGAGTGACTGGTTACGGCGGCGACGGCGGGACCGTTGGTGGTGGTGGTGAAGTTTAGGACTATTTTCACTCGCTGTTGGTTATCCATCTGCCGACGGTACTTTGTCATGTATGGGCACGGACTGCTTATTAGATATCACCAACCAAACGATCGAGCAATATCATCAAGACTTTATCAACGTCTTGTGGTTGTCGGAAGTCACCTCACGCACTCTTCGTGTCGGCCTCGAGATACCTTTCAGACGCCACCATTCCTCATGTAGCTTCTCAGTGACCTCTTCTCCCCAATTCGCGTGTCTTAGGGGGTATCGTCCCTCTTCTCAAACTCTTGTACTTGCGCACCTGCGCTTGATGCATTCGTAACTATGCCTCATTAGTCAACCTGAAGAATTTCACGGATAGTGCCTCTTCACGCGCGAAGATCGACGACAGTTATTCTCCAGAGCTTGTTGTACTGTCTACAACAGTGATTGTAAGTGTCTGCTATACCGGAATCAGTAAACCATGGCCCTCGCAGCCTAGTGTGCCTTAGTAGTTACCCGGCACCTGGTTCGTTGCCGGTAGATGCGCTCGCGCTCCTGCTGAGTATACGCGTCTTGAGCTCAGTCGTGGTCTTTCTGACCTGTTGTGGTGCTGTTGTTGGTTAAAATCCTGGTGAAGTGTTTATTGTGGATCTGGAGATGTGGTGGTACGTCTAGGTGCGGGTCCGGCCGTGCCAGCCACCTGCGCCCTCTCCCTCTGGTGTTCTTCACGACTATGTCGCGACACCGGGCCCAGGCGGGGGGAGGAGAGAGTGCGGTAGATGCTGCGAAAGTCCACTCTCACTGCAAACTAACTGCAAGCGCAAGCCACCGAGCCTGTTGTGAAGCACACGGTAGACATCGAACACCACACAGCTTCTCAGTCTTCACAGCAACCATCCGGTGGCTCACAAACGAAGCTGTGTGAAGACGTTCTTCAAACGGATCCAAACTCATTGCAGCAAACCGGAGGACAGAGCACGTGAGACCCGTTATCTCCGCGACCAGTTTGTGCAAAATGGCTATCCGAGGGTATTCTTGAGTCGCTGTCTACGCGGTCGGCACCAGAGAACTCGAACATCAACGCCACCGACGGTATGGCATTCTCTGTCATACATCAAGGGCGTTTCAGAAGCGACCGAGCGCATTGCTGCGGAGCTAGGTGTTGGAATTGCACACCGTCCCAAAGCCACCATGCGCAATAGGGTCATAAAAATCAAAGACCGGTTAAAACCTGATGAGCAATCTGGAATAGTGTATCGCATTCCGTGTCAAAATTGTCCTTGTAACTACACAGGACAGACTGGACGCATGCTCGGATCGCGCATACACGAACATGAGCTGGCCGTGCGACGAAGCGACTCATTATCACAAGTGGCCGCCCACACCTACGAAATGGGTCACGAGTTTAGCTTCACAGCCACTAAAATAGTCGCCCACACCGGAAACAAAGCAGACCGAGAATTAATTGAAGCCCGGGCCTCGGATGAGAACTCGGTCAATCGACTTATCGATCTGGTGCCGGCGTACAGAGCCCTGCGTAGTCATCTCCAGTCTTGCGCCGTCGGTCGATGATTGGCCTACATGCCTTATAACTGTCGCTTGTTCTGCTGCTGCTACTACCTCTGACGATGGACTTCTGTATGAGTGTGACCCCTCTGCCGGCCGTACTTAAACTGCGAAGTTGGATTCGGGGCAGCAACGTTTTACGTGTATGACTGACTGCAAAGACTTTCATTGGTCAATTTTCTTGACTGGCAGACAACTCTGGTGCGTGGGGATTCAGGCCTTTTTTAAATAGCCGCTTTAGTCGTAGTTTATAGTCCTCTTTCGCACTGCAGATGCCAACTCCTGACATTGGACAGGTGGGCTTCCTCGTTGACATTCCCCCCCCCTTCCCCCCATAGTTCCAGTTGACATTATGTCTTTTGTCTTGTACGGGTTCGGTTGGTGACCACATGTTACACATCTCCCCACCCCCAATTTCCGCCTCTCGACAACAGCCTCCTAAACTTGTCCGGTTTCTTTTTACTAATTCCGACAAAAAGATAAATAAATAAGTTCTCCGTCGTATCCACGTTCGGCTGCCTTTCTCGCTCTTATTACTTTACCCTGTTCGAGTGATTTGGGCAAATTATAGCTTTTTTCCTTTAGCTGACTTCGAATCCAATGTGGCGAATGCATCTGATGGAGAGGAGGTGGAGGAGGAGGACAGTGACGACTACTACCTCTCCAAACGTAAAGCCAAACGCCTTGGTAAAGCACCAAAAATCTCTGCGCCCAAAGATGAGACAGCCGACGACAACGACGATGGAGGTTGCAATTGTTTTTTTGTGTTTTCCTTCTCGAGTTTCCCATCCTTTATTTTCGATGCTTTCGTCGACCGTTCCAGCCACCTGCGCCCTCTCCCGCCTCTGGTCATCTTGATTCTGTCCTAACACCGGGTCCAGGTGGGGAAGGAAGAGACAGAGAGTGCGGTAGATGCGGCGCAGGCTACTCTTACTACTACGCGCAAGTCACCCTGCCTGCTCTCACTCCGCTCTAGAGCACGTGGTGGACATCGTCAAGCACGACGGTCAAGCCGTCATGTTTCGCTACTGTTTGCCCGGTAACCAGACGGGCGGTAAGGGAAACATACAGTAGGTGGGCTAACTCATGAAATGTCAACTGAAATTCTGGAATGCGTTTTCGTTTCGAAAAGATTAATTAAATAGGGTTGTAAAACTAATCAGCCTGCAGCATAATTCTATAATAAATCAGTTACCTCAGGATGTCGGCTTTCGAAAGAACTTCTTTCCGGCTGCATGCAAAGACCATACTCTGTAAAAAAATGACTACTTAAGTAGCATGTACTTTTATTTTTGATCCTCGATGCCTCTAAAAGTCCAATTATATTTCATGGAAAAAATGCACAAAAAAATATTCATTCTTTAGCTCATTCGGCAGAAAAGTACGTCGTCTTTCAATTTTATACTTCAATTTTATCGTTTGGTTTTCAAAAACTTTTGCAATTCCCGAATAGTTTTGAACCCGCTCTGCCGTCACACTTGCATTCAGGGTTTCCAAACTACAAGCCATGTATTCTCCGCGTATGTGAAACCATGCATTTCTCTACACTATTAAGAGGAGACTATATGGGTTTCATAAAATTTAGCATTTGATTTGAGCCATATTGTTAACCTTACAAGCCACATTGGTAAATGCAGAGACATGATGTTTTATGAAAGGCCATTTCACGGTATTAAAAAGTCTCACAATTAGACAATTTTTAGAACTGAATGGTCTTTCCTTCGAGTATAAAATTGAAAGACGACATATTTTTCTGCCGAATGAGCGAAAGAATGAATATTTTTTGTGCATGTTTTCCTTGAAATATAATTGGACTTTTACAGGCATCGAGGATCAAAAATAAAAATGCATGTTACTTAAGTAGTCATTTTTTCCAGAGTATAGTCTTTGCATGCAGCCAGAAAGAAGTTCCTTCGAAAGCCGACATCCTGAGGTAACTGGCTTATTATAGAATTATGCTGCAGGCTGACTAGTTTTACAACCCTACTTAATCTTTCCGAAACTAAGACGCATTTCGGTTGGCATTTCATGGGTTAACCCACCTACTGTAACCTTGCTAGTAATACTAACGCTATAACTGGCTCATTCCGTGAGCCTTACACTTAACCTATGGATAAAGCTAACATTCGTACTAGTCCAACCCTAGTATTAGTGGTTAGGGTTAGGTTAAAGGCATCCTTGCTTCCCGTCTTACCAGCGGAGCCAGAAGCGATACCGTTTCCGAAAGGATTACTTAGGTGGGATCGCAATTTTGGTTATCGTGCAGTGTAATCCCAAAATATTCCAGTCATGCCGGTATGTCCACTTGTGAATGAGCTCCTTTTCGGCCGTTTGGAAAAACCATTGTCAGTAAAAATGACTACTTAAGTAGTGTAGTTTTTCCCATCTGACTATCGACGCTCTTATAAATTCGAATATATTTTGCAGAAAACATACGCAAAGCTACTTTTAATCATTTGGTGACAAATTACGCCTTGTCTTTCAGTTTACAAAGAGTTTGTAATCGTGAGATTTTTTAAGACCGTGAAATGTCCACGCAGAATCGTATCCGCCAGTTCTTTTACTGTTGCTTATGAAGTATACGATATCGTTCACATTTATTGCTAAATTTTATTAGCCATATGCGGTGTATTTTTAATTTCCTAGAGAAATATATGATTTCTCTTACATGAAAAGTATACAGCACGTAGTTTAAAAAGCCTGAACACGAGTGTGGCCGCAGACCTGGAATAAGTTTTTTTAAATCGATAGGCACCCCTGGATATAAAATTTAAAGACGTTTTTTACCACAGGAATCGATGAAAGGCTATTTTTGTGGGAGTTTTCTTTAGAGTTTATTCAAATTTATAAGGGCATCGAAAATCCATAGGAAATTGTTATACTACTTAGGTGGTCGCTTTTACGGGATGTGGCTTCTGCCGCTGGCCGGAAAGAGGCTCATCCCAAAGCGGGCGTCCCATCGTGATTGAAATATCTTTGGATTGCCCTGCACGGTAATATTCCGACCCCGTCTAAGTAATTCTTTCTGATCGATAGCTCATTTCAGGGTCTCGTTAACATTTCATGCGATAGGCCAGATACCGTAGCAGCCCATCAAAAGGAAAGATATTGGTCCAGCTGCGCTCAGCCCGAAGTCTCCACCTCTGTTTCCCTATTTCCAAATCAATTCGTCGACGAAAGACCCTACCGCGAAGACTTTGCTGACATCGCCAAGGAGGTTGATGTCGCAGTTTCCCTGTGTGTAGCCTGCCCTGCGTCCGAATACTTGTTTACTTTTGCTAAATCTGAGCACAGTGACCCCTTTACCGCGTGTACCGATACCTTCTAGCGGCGCTGGCTGATTACGGCAGTAAACCGTGCTGCAGGGGGTGTTAAGGCACTCTTAACAGGGCATGATAACAGAAACCGCCTGCAGCACGGGTGGCTTTGAGCCAACCTCCAGTGAAATTGGGGTTAGGTTAGGAGTTAAGTTTAAGGCTAGACCTGAAGTTAACGGCAAGGCAAGTCAGGATAGGGGGTAGTGTTAACTTCATCATTAAGGTTTAGGGTAGGGTTAGGGTGAAGATCAGGGCAACGGTCTAACTTTAGTTTACTAGCCTGACGTTACGGATTCTCATTCGAGCCCATCATCTGTAACCGTCTTTGATGATGGGTTCGAGTGAGAATCCGAAACCTCGGGCCAACATGCTTCGTGTTCCAGTGATCGCATCTTCTTCTGGACTGCTTCCTGGAACTCACCTGTTCGATTCTATTGGTAACGGTTTTGTTTTATAATAGGCTTATTGTTGGGTTTAGGACACGGAAATATTTGCCCTTTTCGGAATTATGCTCAGGTCCACCTTCGTTACCTACGTAGGGCGTACGTACCCCCGTGTCCTGTTTAGGGGACTACATAAGTCAGTCCTACCCTCTGTTTTTTACGGACTCACCCTAGATGTTAAACTTAGAACACTTGACTGTCACAACTGTCACAATCAGGCACTTTTTTGTAGTTCGGTTGACTGTTTTGACAGACCTACCACTGATTTTATCATTCAAGAATGAGCTGTAATCTATTCCCTGCGAAATGTTGCTATCCGAGGTCTTCTGAGATTCGATTTTTTCGCAGGTCATGCAGAAACCTACATTTCAGGAAGGTGGGGAAAACGTAGACTGAATACTGGTAGTAGTTTCTAGTCCATTTTAGTGCCTCTAGACGAGGAGGTAATTTGTACTGCTAATTGCCCAGATGGCGGAAAAGACTTTCCTTTTTGTTGTTAACCAACCAGTCAACCAAAACATGCTTCTGTTTTCCTTCGCGATCACCGGCATCTTAGCTTTATCCTACTTAGGAAACCTGGTGAGTTTGTTGTGTGGCTCCACGGCGAGTAACTGCTCTGCCAAATTTGCAGCCAATTAACCCCGCATTCTGATTGGTGCTTCCCAAGGTCTTGCCTCTGTGAATGGTGGTGACGGCGCGATCGAAAGTGACGACCAATCCGGTTACGCCAGTCGGAGTAAGCAGAAGAAACAGCAAAGTGCCAATAAGGGCGGCCTACAGCGCAAGCTGGAGGAGAACTCAGCGGCCAGTGGTGGGTGGAGCCAGAAAGAGCAAAACCAACTGGAGACTGCCATTAAATCCATTCCTAAAGGCGTGCCTGATCGGTGGCAGAGGATCGCGGAATGTGTTCCCACGAAATCCCTGGTGGGTTTCCCCTTCTTTTTAATGCCTGTTTAGCAGGAAATGCGGAACGCATTTTTGCAAAAGACATTTATGTGCCGGACCGCCTGAATGATTATGCATGCGCCAAATCTACTCCACACATACTTTAGCACTTTGCCTGCTATCGATGTCATGCGAGACTTTGTCATTAGAGAAGTCCAGAAGTCTGAGGACTGTGTCACTCCACTGTAATATTAGTTCCACATTTGCAAATTTTGCATAGAGAAGAGGCGACTGATGCATGTGAGAGACAGGATAGATTGGAGCCGACACTGGAGAATCCATCTTCACACCACATCAGGGCGTTCTCCGTCATAATAAATCTGACGAGCTTGAATCCATCACCACCACCACCACTTGGAGGGTTGTCGACTGACGGAATAACTCGGTCCTCATGGGTGTATTTTGGTGTGACCGTAGAACTGAGGGTGAGGCTGTAATGGCTCCTTGATGTGGCCGTTATGACATTCGCTCACAAGTGAGATCCGAACCGACAGGCGGACAGTAAACCGTTTGAAGAAGAAAATAGGCACTCCGGAACAGGTTTGTTTAACTGCTGACGTTTCAAAGAGCTGGGTCGGCTCTTCATTGTCAAAGCGAAAAATGCACTTAATCGATCGGAAATCGATCGGAAGTCATTCGTCTGAAGATGAAGACGGGTTCTCCGAAACACATTTATTTAGGTGCTGACGTTTCAAAGAGTTTGGTGGGCTCTCCATTGTCAAAGCGTAAAATGCACATAATCGATCAGAAATTGCATGTGGCATCTTCTGTTGGTCGGCCTTATTCTGATCGATTTTTCTCTCCTCTCGCTGCCTCGGCCTCTCGGGAGATGGTGGACGGGCGTTTTGCCTGTGTGCTTTGTGAGTCACCACTCCGTCGAGGGGAGCTGAGTGAACTTCTGTCGGGCGGTCGGTCTGGCGGTTCTTCTTCTTCCTCACCGAGTAAACTCAGCGTCGGGCTATCTCCGTGCGGCCTTCTTAAGTCCGGTGTGGTTGTTTGGTCCTGAGGTCTACGATTGTGATGACGTAGGACTTTGTAAGCTGCAGGAAGGTCCAGATGCCTGTTGATAGAGTGGGCATCGGAGAACCACGCCTCGAGAGTTTGCCGTCCTGTTTTTGTGTTGCCTCGGCCTAAGATGGTAGCCCTCTGGAGGTCAAAAGTATGCTCCGTTTCTCCAATGTGTGTTGCTAGTTGAGAGTTAGGGTCTAACCTTCGAGTGGCCAATTTGTGTTCTTGTAGGCGAGTTAGCAATTTCCGCCCGGTTTCGCCCACATAGTTGCTGTCGGCCTCATTGCAATTTATTTTGTAGATGACTGCTGAGGTTTCATCGGGTGGCAATGGGTCCTTGCGTTGCATCAGGCGACGTCGAATCGTTGCTTGGGGTCGATGGGCTATGCCTACTCTGGTGGTTTGTAGCAGTCGCGAGACCGCTTCGGAGACCCCTTTGACGTAGGGAATGGCCCTCCAGACTTCGGGTTGCTGCTCATTTGGCCGCCGTCTGGGCGCCCAACGTCCGCTTCTCTCAATGAAATGTCTGGAATAACCATTGGCTGTAAATAGGTTCACAGGGTACAATCGTTCGACCCTTTTATCTTCTGGCGTGCTGCAGTGTGTTTCGACTCTTTGGAACAGAGTGCGGACACAACTACGTTTGTGAGACAGAGGATGGTTGCTGTTAAAGTGTAGGACCTGTCTCGTGTTAGTGGATTTTCGGAATACTGCAGTTTGCAGCTGTCCAATGGTACACCGGCGCACAAGTGCGTCAAGGAAGGGGAGTTGGTTGTTTGTTTCTGCTTCCATCGTAAATTCGATATCCGGATTAACCGAATTCAGTATTTCCTTTAGGTGCTCTATGTCACCTGTTTTGACAACGGCGAAGGTGTCATCGACATAGCGGGCCCAGAAATTTGGTTGATACTTGGTGAACACCAAGTGTTCTACCTGTTGAAGAATTACTTCAGCGATTAGGCCTGATATAGGGGAGCCCATAGGAGTGCCTTTTATTTGTTCGTACATCTGTCCACCGAAGGTGAAATAAGTCTTGAGACAGTATCGTAGATGCACAGACTTCAGGGGTTCGTCTCTCTCCGTTTGCATGTGATAGTTCGACCGTAGTATCCGACGAGGATCCACCGTGTGCACCATAGCAGGTGGTAGGAGCAGGGACGGTGATAGCAGATTTGCGCTGCATCTACCGCACTCTCTTCTCCCTCACTCAAGACAGAATCGAGCAGACCGGAGGCGGGGGAGGACGCAGGTAGCTGGTACGGCGGAAACTCGCTCGTAGACGTACCCCCTTATCCACAACCGATACTGACCTGAATTTTATACCACAAGAAAGATGGGGAGTGGCAAAGATCCCAGTGGGCGCGGCCTGAGTCTGCACATAGGCTTGCCGCCCAATCCTCAATGCATTCCCGATAATATCTGTTGGACTCCGATCTGATCCTTGTTTTGGCCCAGCATATCTACCGCGTGGCTCGTTTTAAGAGCAAAGGTTCGCACGTACACAACACATCTATCAGTTCAGTTTTATTGAGGGAAATGTAGGTCTTCACCTTTGAACTCCCTGGAAAAGGTATCATATAGGTAACAAATTATCGGAGAAGCGTCAACTCTGTACAGATAGACAAACTGTCTCGGGTGTTAGTGGTATGAGCAGTAATACAGCGGTCGTTTCGAGTGCAGGGCAATAAATAATGTACCCAGTGACAAAAGTTGCATAGGTGCATGTCTGTAAGCGTAGACGATGGGTTGGAGACAATAATAAATTCAATTTAAAATGTTACTGAAATATATAAAGTAGTATCATAGCAACGGTATTTCTCAAGGTCACATGGGTCGAATGGTAATTTAGTGGACAATGGCATACGAATTTAGCTTCCTCTTAAAGACCTCAACGGAAGCAGACATAACGACATCCGGAGGCGTGGCGTTCCAAGCTTCAAGCACTCTGTTATAGAAGAGGAACTTTCGTACGTCCAGCCTGGCCCCGGTCACACGTAGTTTGAATGGATGACCTCGTAGGTTTGTGGTGGTTGCTAATTCGAAGAAGTCCCCGCGTTTAGTATCGCTTGCATGTATCGTTTACATTCAAACAGGCTATATTCTGGTCCTGTGTGTAATTACTCCCCGGACTTACATAACCTTTACTGTCGTAAACTTTATTTCCATGGAGGGAAATTTGGCGACACTGTATTACCGCCAAAAAACGCCGATGAGGCTGTTAACTGACACACAATTTCTCCCCCTTCCATGATGGTTGCATCCATCTCCTCAGACATCCAATGTAGCCCTTGTGCGTACCCTGTGCCCCAGTAAGTCAGGTTCCATCGTCGGCAGACGACCTCACCTTGCTGGCGAAGGCACACGGTGCACTGGCGAGCGTCAATCACTGTGAAGCAAGCCTGCGCATTCTTCATGTCTGTCATGCACGAGCCTACTTCCGCTCTATAAAAACTTGCGGCGTCAACGCTTCAACCCACCCAAACACCGCCCTCTCGTGGATACACTGAATGTCCACCGCCCCGGCGGCAGTCGGTCATGGGCCCCTGTGAATCCGGAAGCCAAGTAGTACATGATCCCTTAACTCTTTTCAACATCTGCGCGCATACACAGCCCTGACAACACGCTCGCGTCCCATCCTCTAGCGTCCCCTTTTCTAAGCAAGCACTCAATGGACCCCCTATTTAGGCTTCTCCGAAGAGTGATTACGGTAGGCCACCTATCTTAACCGCCACAGGTTCCGTCGGCGTGCGCCTCGCATACCTACAGTGAGTGACCGATCCCATGAAATGTCAGGGAGGAGGCGTACTCACATATGTTAAGCGTGAGCTATTAGTTTCAGACGAAAATGATAAATGTGCATGCACTTGTGAGGCAGTTTGGCTAATTACAGTGAGTGACCTATCTCATGAAATGTTGGCTGAAATTCTGAAATGCGTTTTCGATTAGGAAGGATTACTTGGTCGCGGTTGTAGTACTGCTTATCTTGTGGCATACTCTTGCAACATTTCGCACTTGGCAGGATGTCGCCTTTTAAATGCATTTCTTTTCAATCTCCTGTAGAAAGCGTGCTCGGTAAAAAAAAATGACCACCTAATTAGCATGCATTTTTCCCATTGATTTTCGATGGTCTTGCAAATTCAAATATATTTTATAGAAACGACGGACAAGAGTATGCCTTTTCCAGTCGTTTGATAGAGAATCACGTCTTTATATTTTATACTGAAGGAAGGAGTATGATTAGGTTTTAAAAAAGCCAAGTAATTTGGAGCCTAAGCATTCGTTGGATTAGCGCTTAGGGATTTCAGTCTACAAGGTGCATGTGATCCGCGTAAAGAAAATCACATATTTTTCTGTGCCTTTAAAAAGATATCATACAAAGTCCATAAAAATTTGCAATGGATGCGGATTATGTTGTCCATTTCATGAGGAGTTGTGGTAAACTGCCAGGTACGATGCTATGTGAATGGTCATTGCGCGGTCTTAAAAAATTTCATACTGAGGAACTTTTTTGAAATTTAATTATACCTAATCTTTGAGTATAAAATATAAAGAAGACCACCACAGGTTCCCTCGGCGTGTGCTTCGCATACCTAAGTGTTGCTTAAAACCTCGACCGCTATTTACTAAGAATCACCAGTCCCCTCCATCATATGTCTATTTATTCCTCTGTTTTAGCAAGAAATAACGGCTCGCGTCAAGTTACTGTCTGAAGTGAGTAAGCAGAAACAACAAACTGCGAACTGAATTTTGTCCGGCCTGGTTGCTTGATCTTTTTTTCTGAAGTCCCCTTCACCCACCCGATTTCCTATTTTTTCTTCGACACCATGTCCCTCAACGTATGCCTGTTTCGGGCACCTTCTGATCTTTCCCCTTACCCTGCCACTCTCTGTGTACAAAAAATGTATTTCTCTTTTCCTCTCGCTATATGCCATTTCTTTGTGGAATTTGATTTCGCTTCCAATAAAGATCTCGATCTTCTCTTGTCTTGGGACATCCAAACCGGAAGTGCCAAGGGCCTACGGAAATTTTGCTGTAGGGCTGCATCTGAATGCTTGCGGCCCCCAAACGGGCCGCGTGGTAGATGCGCTGGACCATATCCGATTCTGGCGGGCGTTATCGGAATGCGTGCGATAACAAATGCCAACATTTTGGGGTGCGGTGGCAAACCCGGCTGCCGGCAGACGTCGCGCACATTGCGACCTCTGCCGCCCCCTCCCCCCATTGTTGTTGTTGGTCAAAAACTTGGTCATTTGCTGTGTGGACCAGGGGGTGTGGGGTGGAGCGCGAAGGTGCGGGCTCGATCCACCTGCGCCCTCTCCCGCCTCCGGTCATCTCGACTGTCTTGACACCGAGTCCAGGTGGGGAGTGGGGAAGGGAGAGTGAGGTAAATGCAGCGCTAGTCCATACTCACTATAAACTAATCTGCGCACAAGTCACCGCGCCTGCGCACGGTGGACATCGTCGGAAACGGCGGTCGAACTGTCGCATCTGGATGCGTCAGTGATTGCCGAGGCGAGGGAGGGTGGCGGGTGTTTCCCCCAGACTAGGAAGTTTGCAACAATGTGAACCAGTCTCCTGATCACGCCTCGCTGGGGTTATCTCGCCCTACTTTTATCATAAGCGTTCGTTGACTTTGCAGGGTTTTCCTGCATCAGAAAGCCCCTACGGCGTTAAAACGCCTTCTTTATGTTCAGACCTACAAGACATCGTTTGATGCCCCTTCCTAAGCGTCCGGCTAATGTATCCCACATGGGCCGGCATGAGGGTAGTCCGCATGGTCCGAAGACGAAGTGGATGGTTCAATGAGGTTATACTGGATGAACTTCACAAACAGTAGTCAGGGTTATAGAAGGGGAAGAACAAGTGGACGGTTTTTTCACCAGCGCGGGGGGGGGGGAGGATCGCCTGCGCGTTCTTTGAGAGCGCCCTACCTACATGGAGTGACCGATCTCATGAAGTGTTGGCTGAAATGCGTCTTCGATTAGGAAGGATTACTTAGACGCGATTGTAATGCTGATTATCATACGACACAAACCTATAGTATTTCGGACTCGGCAGGATGTCCGCTTTTGGATGCATTGCTATTCAAATTCCTGTAGAAACAGTACTCGGTAAAAAACGACTACTTAAGTAGCATACAATTTTCTCATTGATTTTCGATGCCCTTAAAAATTCAATTAGATTTAATGGAAAGCATGCATAAAAACATTCATTTTTTGCATATTCGGTAGATAATCACGTCTTCTTCCAATTTTATACTCGAAAAAAGAGTATGATTCGGTTTTAAAAAACTTCTAATTCCCGAATTATTTTGAATTCGACCTGCTGTTACACTTGCGTTTAGCGTTTCAAAACAACAAGCCGTATATTTTCCGCGCACGGAAAACCATACATTTCTCTACGGTATAAAGGGGAAACCATATGGGGTTCATAAAATTAAGCAGTGGATTTGAGTAGTATTGTTAACTTTACAAGCCACATCCGTAAATGCAGATACATGACGTTTTATGAACGGCCATTTCACGGTATTAAAAAACCTCACAACTAGAAACCTTTTTCAACTGAATTATACAACTCCTTCGAGTTTAAAACTGAAACAAGACGAAATTCTCTACCGAATAAATAAAAAAATGAATATTTTTATGCATTTTTCACGAAATATAATTGAACTTTTAAGGACATTGACAATCAATGGGAAAATTCCATGCTACTTAAGTGGGCATTTTTTGCCGAGTATAGTTCTTGCATGCAGTCGAAAATAAGTTCGTTCGAAATCCGACACCCTGAGGTAACTGGATCATTATAGAATTATACTGGATGGTTATTGGTTTTACAACCATACTTGATTAATCTTTTTGAAACGAGGACGCATTTCGAAATTTCCGCCGACATTTCATGAGTTAACCCACTTACTGTAGCTTGCGTACTGCCTGTGTGAAAAACTGCCTACTAAACTATTACAGACTGGCTGATGTCCGATGGCGCCCTGGTTTGATAAATGAAGTCCTCTGGAGTGTATAATATAATTGCTATTGGTCAGAATAGGGCCGACCGTTGAGAGCGTGAGCAATCCCTGAGCAGTCACTGCCCAATAAAGGTAGTAGAAACGGGGATACCTCTTTCTGAATACTGGTCACTATGCGACATTTTATCGGTCTAATAATCGGACTACAGCGGCCCCCACTTAATGTGGCCCTTAAGGCACTCTCACACAAGCGAGATCCGAACCGCCACTGTGAAAACCTGGTACATGTAATGGGACCCATTTTGTGCGTGGCACGCGTAGACTCGTCAGCCATTGTGTCACCTCCAACCACCAGCTGTCTGACGGACCCGAGAGGGCGGCTGGTGCCCGGTGGAAAAAAAAGAGAGTGAGGCCAATAACAGTGAGTCCATCCCCACAACAAACCACCTTGTTCATCGTTATAATAAATCTCGCGTATCTGAATCTATCATAATTAGCTATCGGCCGTGATGTGGATGTCCGCCAATCGACGAGCTAATTCGGTCCTCATCGTGTGTATTTTGGAAAGGTTGGAGGACTAAGAGCCAATCTGGAGTGACTTCTTATTGATGTGGACTTTATAGCAGGCTCATCCTACGGAGAAATTCACCCAGTTCGAGAGCTGCTGTCAATTTCTTCCTCGGAACGGTTTTCGGCACCACTGACATCTGATAAAAAAGGCCGCTCAAGTTCACTGTCGGTAAAGCCTCCAAACTGAGGTATAGCACGGTGATTTGGAGGGAATTCGTTATTCAAGAGCCTGTAGTCAGCACAGAATGGTCAATCACCAACGGTTCGCCTCACGGTCACGAACTCATAACCGAATTATGTCTTATGATATAAGGTGCAGAAAAGAGTAATTTTTATGCACATGAGGGAAGTATTGACATGAAAAGGATCCCCACCTTCCGCTTGGCAAACATGTACTCCCTATACAGTATTTTCCATAAGGATTTTCGAAATATTTGTCTCCAGCACTCGAATTTCTTTCGGAGTTTATTGACATACCCCAAGTAAAGGCAACGGTAGGATGTAGGACCCCCAATTAACTTGAGCTAGCCTGTGGACCGTGTCGCACGTTGGTGGTAGAGGGTGTTTTATGGGCGGAGCAACACACAGGTAGGAGAGTAAGAAGACCCAGAAAATGAATACATCTCTGCCGAAAGTCTTATCGTGCGCCGCCATTTGGTAAAGAAAGTGAGCACGATAATTAAAAAATAGACAAAAAAGAAATGTTCAAAAAAATAACAGACTTTGAATACAGCGTCGCTGGTAACTTACATGCTGTCAGGAAGGCAGGGGAATTTCAGGCAATGGGAACGGTAAATAAAAAAGGATGTTTACAGTCATACTGAATTCTAGTGTATATTTTAGAAATGCCAGCTAGATGGGGTTCCACACACTACCGTTGCCCGAATAAATACTTCTGGCGATGTCCGATGGCGCGCACGTGGCGGTCCGTCGAAATCTCCATCCTTGAAAATATTCTTCTTTAACCATCCGCTGAATGTGGATTGAATATTCCGGTAGTGACCGTACTCGCGGCACCTGCAGCAACATCCGGCCCCTCTAGCGTATTTGCATGAAGGCACCAGTAACAGTCTGGTTCTCGGCCAATCACAGCTATCCAAACTGGTCAGGCAACTTCAAAGTCGACGCAGACGTGCCCTCACTCATGACGCTCGAAGGCCTTCTCCTGCGGTGCCGAAGTGTACCCTCTAACCTATTTCTCCTTTGTTCTGTACAAAACTCCATATCCTCTCTACTGACTTCCATCTTCTTCGCTTTCTATGCAATACCCGACGTGAAGGTTGTACTGACATGTGTTAATGTGTTTTCATCTGCTGGGACAAAGTCTGGTACTTTTGAAACTCCTGAGAATGTTTTCAGTTGGCGTTCCTGGTTCTTCCCGAATTCTCCGCTATGCACGCTCAGCAGTTCCCTGCGTATGAACTGGATCCGATTTTTCGGCTCTGAACCAATAAGTAGCACCCACCTTTTGGTAGATATGCTGAACCGAGCTAAAATTGTGTGCATGGGCTTTTTTGTTTGAACAGTGGGGCACTACTTTGTGAAATTAAATTATATGATTTCTACTCGTTGCTCCTTACTGTATTCTTGCATGCTAATTTTTGAAGTAAAAGTCATTAAATGTTTGAACAGCAGTGTGACTTGTGTCCCTTGCTCTATGTCATGCGCCGCTGTGCGGCTGCTGGTTGGACCCCAGAGAGGGCCCGTAAGGCACAACGAAACGAGTGAGTTCCCCAAGAACGATCGGTGAGCATGTGGCAGTTCTCGTCTCCTCGCCCTCCGCCTTTGTCACGCTGCCGTCCTGTCCGCCTCACACTCCGTGTCGATACGCTGCTGGGACGCGCGAGTGCTCGAAGCCAATCAACGCTGTCCCCACTCTGATTGGCTGGCGGCGTGGACACAACGAAGGGCACACACACGCGCTGACAGCAACCCGAAGGCGGACACAGACAACAGCTTGCTTGGAGCGCGCTCGCGGCGACTGCCTACAGAGCCCTTGTGTACGCACTTCCTCAGGCAGTAAAGGTTGTCCATCTCAAACCGTCTTCCCTGACTTTTGATTGGGGATCTTTATCTTGTCGATCACCCAACATTCGACAAGCACACCTCTGCCATTGTTGCCTAAACTGCACAAACTGGGTAAACCTTCAAATTCCGGGGATAAAACATTTGAGGTTCGGGCAGTTTGAGAACAACGCGACCGGCAGTT